CTCACCCCACCCCACCCCCCACCCCCGAGGCTGAAAGGTGTACTACATCCGGGATCTGGCTGCCCACGTGGGGTCACCTCCATCCTGCAGTTAGGCAAAGCCAAGCCAAGCACTCCTTTTAAGATGAGTAGAAAACACGGCCCGCAGGGTCGCTCTTAGGGCACGCAGCCAGTTCCACACTAATGTTGTCAGCGAGCACCAACACTTACCCTGGTCCTGCGCACTCCCAGAGCAGCCGGGAGACCAAGCTCTGGGAGAGAGAGACAGAGCCCGTTCGCCATGCAGCACCTGGGACCCAGGAGGACAACGAGTTCAATGTGCGACGCCTTCCATTGTAGGCACAGGGGCCTTGCACGTGTGGAATGACCTGGAACAACCCATGCCCTAGCCTCACAAGCCACCGTTCTTCCAAATCACAGTGACTTCTGCATCTTGGCCCCGAGACTAGACTGTTTACTGGGTGGGGTGTTGGCCTTTTGAATGGATATGTGTTGTTGAGTCAGGAAGAAGTTCATTCCGTGCAATATGGACGTCTCTAGAAACCACCCCCCGGGGCCGGGTTGTTGGAGACAGGGTGTGTGAACCATTACAGAACAGCCGCGAGCTCGCCTGGGATCCAGGGCATGTAGAATGGCGTCAGGGATCTAATGTAAATGGTGACCATCAGGACCACCCGGGTCCTCGTGCTGTCAGGTTCTTTGTTGGTTTTCTTAGGATAATTTAAAATCTATAGGGAGGGTTACTTGAGGAAAGGTGGAGAGCCAGGTCGTGTGGCTGTATGGTACAGGTGTACTTCCCACACTTCAGGGAGATTAGTAAAAGAAAAATAAATGACAATCAAACCAAGCCGTCAGTGGCCCATGTCTCTTTAACTGTGTGATGAGCTGACAGTTGACAGCCACAGGCAGCGGTCGGTCTAGAGCTCGCTCTGGAACACGTACGTGTGCAGGTGAAACCCCAGCCCTGCCGAGGGGACGGTAGCTAACGGTGTAAAACCAGTCTATACATGTCGTAGCAACAGTGAAGGCATTTCACAACCTGGTGTAGAAATAGTCGTAGATCAATGCTTGCATCTGACACTGGAAGTTGATGACCTCTGGGGAAAAGGAAATGAAAGAATGCTGACTGTCCATATTTTAATCAGCAAAAGGATTAGAGCTGTATTTTTTTTTAAGTCACTTAAGAGGAATATGTCATGAATATGTCATCTTAGCAAATTGGGATTTCTTCTAATAGTGCACAAATAGAGATCCAGCTTCTGGATATAAAAATAACCCTTTGCAAACAGTAATAAAAGTATGTGAACCTTAAAACGTCAGGGTGGGGGAGTGAGAGGGGTACTCCCATGAACGGGCCGAAGGGAAAGTCATGTCACAGCTCCAGCAAGTCTCTGCCATTCGCTCCTCTGGCGTGTCAAGGAGGTGAGCCCACTCCGTAATCAGGTTTCTAATGTGTATTAGATCACTGTGGATTTTCCTGGGCTTTGGGTGCTCAGAATAGTGCTTGAGCCCCTCACCTCAGGTGGCCTTGATGCGGTGGGTGTGTGTTCTAACCAGTGTGTGGACTTGGATAAGACAGAGTTCAGCTCACCTAGTGGTTATCTTGGCTTTTGATGACCTGGTACCCCTGTTTACTGGGCTATGATCCATTGTTCTGAGGCCTCTGTGGACACAGCCTCACAGGAGCAAAAGGAGGCAGAGATCTGAAATGATTTTCTGAATACTTAGGTGAAAAACCCTCAGACTTTATTCCTCTGCTTTCACTATCCAAATTACTTATTAAAATGGCCCAGAGGAGCTGTTGTTTTAGGGGTTTTGTATAAGATTTTTGCATTAAGGCATGTGTGCTTGCCCGAGAGAGAGAGAGAGAGAGAGACAGAAACAGAGACAGAAACAGAGACAGTGAGAGGGAAAGTGAGAAATCACCCCCATCACTGGGCAATGACCATGCCGCAATCCATTCTCCTCCTGGGATTTTGAGCACGCATTTACATTCGCCCAGTGTGATTTTCAGGCCACTGGGTCCAGGACTCAAACCACAGTCGGCCATGCAGGAGTCCAGCAACATAACCCCTACACCATCTGCTAGTCCTGGCCCAAATGATTTGCATTCACATTAAATTCTTATTACACAACTTAACCTGTTTTTAAAAATTAAACTCAGATACCAACTGAGAAATTCTTGAACAATCATGTTGAATCTATATGTACTAAAAACAATTGTACAGCCCGATCCCCATGGAGCCACAGAGGCTAGCTAGATTGGTAATACAACCTCCAGTTGAGGCTGGTTCTTCTTCATCTGAGGTGGATGCTTACTCAGATAAATGAGATGTAGAGAGAAAGAAGAGAGGGAGGAAATACCAGGTAAGAATCACAGTTTTTTACACAGAGGACTTGTTCGTTTTCTTCGGTAGAAAATTATCTGCAATAAACTAGGTAAAATGGGATGAAATTTAATCTGGGGTTGAAAGCCTGAAACAGTTTCTTGCGTCTACCAGTGTGCTACTTTGATCTGCGAATGCGCCAGTGTTCTTCACAGATAGGACTTGTCTTCTGTGATATTTAAATGCCTCATCTATTCCTCAGATGGAGTAGAATAACGGGGCGCGTTTTAGTGCATAAACTGGGGCTTTCATTTTCCCAGGCTCTCCTCGCTGCCACCATACTGGCAGCCAGGAGCTTAAGGCTTCACCCCGGTTGGGAGTTCAGACCACCCTGTTTTCCATTACATTTAGATTCATAGAATCTGAATGGCTGATTCAATGGCCATCTGATGGCTGAAGGAGCTGGGGTATTTTTCACCCTGTAGTTAAAGGCTTGGAGGAATTTCTACTTTTTATTTTCATTATACTTTAACCAAAGAGTTATTTTAAAGTAATCTTATATTTGAGAGATGAGTTTGCAAAAAAATAATAATAATTTTTAAAAAATGTATCTTCCGGAGTGGTGTCAATTAGGTAAATATTGTTGATAATGTTCTCGTTAGTGTCGTTTGGAACTCATATATAATAGATTGTCTTGTCATGCTTGGCATTGACCATAAATGTATCTTTTCCACTCAGCCAGCTGTATTCGTATTGAAATGAAGTCTCTTATTTCAATGACCAGTGTCACTGGGAACTAATTGAAGGGCTACCGTAGGAGAAGTTTCTATCTCATGGCCTTAGTTAAAAAGGCTTCCCTGCAGGGTCAGAGGGAGGCAGTTCCCGTAACCTAGGCACTCGGCCACGCCAGCGTCTGACTTAAAGCAGGAAT